CCCCAAAACCCCAAAACCCCTTGGTCAAAGTAAAAGGAGTAATTGAACATTTAAAAATTAGATATATTTTAAATTAGTATATTATAATTAAAAACAGAGCGCGAAAATGAGGTTTATGAATATTGATTTCAACCTACATTGCATTTTAGCGTTTTTCTTTTGCTTGATCCTTAATCTCATTAAAGCTAGAGAATTAGAGATGAATAATGACTACTACATCAACAATGAAAATATGAATAAGCTCGATTAAAATACTCCCCAATGTCCATCATAGCATTAAAAGTACTTAGACAATTAAAAAACTATCGTTATAATAAAAATTAGCAACAACTAGGAAATGGGTAATCAACTATTTAAATATGCTGCTGGCTATTGTTTAGCCAAGAATACTAACTCGAGTATTGTTTTGATTTAAGATATGTTTGAAAACGAATTTAGATAGACTGATAAAGTTTAAAATCGTTCAATAATAGATGAATTTGATATTGAATATGATCAGATATTAAATCAGTGTGAAGCTGATTTTGCAAAAACTGGTAGTATGATTGTAAATAACAGGAATATCTTAGATATCAAAGGCAAACAAAAGACTAATATGTATTTAGAAGGAGAATTTATAAATTAAGCAGTGATTGATGACTGTAGTTAGGAGATAAAAAGAATGCTGAAATCTGATTCTAAATTAAATAAGTCAAAGAGGTATACTAATATTAAGAAAACTATAATTGATCCAAATTACATAGGGGTAGCAGTTTATATTAGAAAAGGCGATATTAATCAATTTACAGAGGATTATAATAAAACTCCAATAACTTTTCACATTAGGGCAATGCAATTTGTTGCAAATCATTTATATAAAAGAAGCAAAACATAAATACCAATATTTCTGTTGTTCTCTGATGATCATTTATGGGTATAAAACCTTTTTGTAAACACGGCCAATGCATATGTTATCTCTAATTAAAATACAACTATTTTTCAAGAATTTTATTTGATGGCATAATGCAAGCATTTTATTATACCAGTAAGCACTTATAGTTGGTGGCCTGCTTTTATAAGTGATTATCCTGATAAAATAGTAGTGTCTCCCAAATTTGATTGGCCACATTAATTCAACTTTGATTGGTATGATGAGCCTTAAGATAGAAGTGCTATTACAGGTGATTAGAGTTTATAAAGATAGCCAGGCTGGTATACTATAAATTAGTTTGTTATTTATGACTCTCCAGAAATCATTTAAAGAGTAGATTATGAGACAGATTCTTATTTAATTGAAAATATAGATTATAGCTCCAAAGAAGAGACTATAAACGAAATTTAATCTGATGAGTATAATCTGAATGAATAACCCATAGATATAAATTATATTGAGAATACATAATAAGCAAAAGACAAAGTAAATAAAAGAAAAAGACCAATTTTAATTGTATCTCGAGTTAAAAAGGATGGGTTAGGTAATTAATTGTTTAATTATGCAGCAGGCTATGCCTTAGCAACAAAACTAGGATATCAAGTGTATTTGGTAGATGAACTATTAGATTTAGATCGAGCCAGAAGTACTGATGAAAAATCAAGAGATTACCAGCTTAACCAGTTTGACTTGCAATATACTAAAATAATAAGCGAAAAGTAAAGTAGTTAATTTCTTAGAAAAGGAGCGGTCAAAGTAAGTGCTAATTCATTTTTCAATATACTTGATGGGAGATTAAAAATAAGCAACAAGAACATTTTCTTTCTTGGGTATTTTTTAAAGACTTCTTACTTCAAGGAATATGAAAATGATATTAAAGCAATGGTCAGATCAGATAGTAAATTGAATAAATCCTAGAACTATCTTATATGGGAGAAATAAATATAAGATACTATGTCAGTTGCTGTTCATGTTAGAATAGGAGATTTAGTAAATTTCTATCAAAATGAAAATAGAGCTATTTCATTGCAATATCAAATTAGAGCTATGCAATTTATAGCAGATAAACTAAAAGAATTTTCCAAAGAATATCCAATATTCTATGTATTCAGCGATGATCATAAATTTGTTAGAAACTCCTTTCATCTATAAGCTAATGTGAAGATTGTCTCAGATGGTAATCTAACAAGTGTTGAGGAATTTTTCTTGATGATAAAATGTAGACACTTTATTATTCCAACTACCACATTCAGTTGGTGGGCTGCTTTTGCTTCTAATTATTAAAACAAGATAGTTGTAACGCCTGAATACGATTGGCCTCATTAATTTAATTTCAAGAGATTTAAGTAACCCTAGGCATATTTGAATAAGCCAGATAAATCTAGTTGGAGATTAATGAGGCAAGATGATTGGTATGTAATAAATCAATTTTATATTTCATCATAGCCTCCAATTAAATTCAAAGAGTATATGGCTAGATAAATAAAATGAGATATTGATTTTCTAAAATTTAATTCAGTTTATCATCTTTCAGATTTTTTGATTTTCCTACCCCTGGGGTTTTGGGGTTTTGGGG